GGGAAAAAAAAAAAAAAAAAAAAGGAAGGACGGCAAAATTGCTAGGGTTTTGGTTTGCCCCGAGAGAGAGAACGGGCGGTTCCGGAACTAAAGTTGGACCTTCTAATTTGCAGCTTTAAATCCGCGCCTGTATATGGGTGCCACGGATTAGGAAAAGTTAAGGATTTTAGTTTTTCTTACCTTATTATTCTAGACAAATTACGTGTGTTTGGATTGTGTTGAGTTTTTTATTCTACGATATTGTAAGATTTATCTTTCAAAGTCATGTAGTCAAATTACCTTAAGCTTGTAAATCTTTTTTCTTTTGATAACTGGAAAAAACTATTAAACTAAAATATCTTAAAATCTTTCCTAAACAGTGTGGTTTAAGTCCGCCAAGAGTAAAAATTTCATATTCTGTAGCATATTATCTCAAATTAACAAATTTTCTTCATGTCTGTGTTTTCGTTTGTCAGAAAATTTGCACATTTGTTTGCTTCCTTACACGTGTATAATAGTAGCATTTATAGCTTCCAATAAATATTTACTATCCTCAGTAACAGTTACTCTATTGTATATCTTCCTCTTTGATAAGTTTGACAGCAAATATAGGCCGTTCGTTCACCTCCAATTCTTTATATTCCATTTCTTTTGCTAATTTTAATTAAATGAAAGTTTAATTTTTTTTCTAAAAAATTACAAGGGCAACTTATAATCACATTGGCACCATTGTATCTAAGAAGCCTACCATAGACAAACTAAATAATTTCTAAGTCTACATTGAGTGATTAACATGAATGGTCCTATAAGGGTTGATATTTCATTATTGTCCTCGTTTTTTAATGCATTTAAAAATGACCTTCGGACTGGTGAAGCTGGGATTGACATTTTATCATAATTTTGTGTTTGTTCAATTATTCATTAACTCTATCAATCAACATAACTTTGTGTTATCTATAATCGACCTATCTGTTAAATTATTCATCAAAGTCTACCTAATTGCTATAATATTTTGTATTGTTTGGCAAAATATTCTTCGAATTTGCAATTCTAATTTCATCAAACCACCCCAACTATGTTCCAAACAATCTCAAATTTGAAACAAAACTTCCAAATACCAACACAAATGATCCTCAATCACCGATTTAGCCAAATAACGTCAAATCAACAAGATTGACTTTGTCTTCTTCGATACTTTCTAAAGACTGACAATGGAAT